TAGTGGTTAAAGTGTTCGCTCCGGATTCGATCCCCCACATGGGAACAATGTGTTAAGCCCATTTCTGGTGTCCCGGGCCTCGCCGTGATATTGTGTGAATTGTGGCGTAAAACAATACTCACTCACTCACCCACTCAAGTACTTCGGTCAAAGAATCCCTCCGAAATAACCGTTGACATTTGACAAAAATACAATTTATGTCTACTGCTCTTTTTCCAACATAACCAGTTTATCTTGCGATCTCATTTAGACAAACCAATTTCGCCTTACAGTCATAAAAACAACATAAATATTAGCTGCCAAAGCTCAGGCAGTGTAAACATCAAAAAGAAGTTTTCCACTGTACACCCTTTCCACAGAAATAAAATCATTTGAAGTAAAAAGTCTCATCCTCCCAAACGCCTTCCTCGTGTGGTAGATAACTTCATTGGCCAATCAGTCGTGGTAACGGCAGTATGGGGTCAGACTATCCCAGAGTTAGTGTGACGGAAGGCGGTGACTGCATCCTCTACAAGAGATGCTTCAAAGCAATCGATGGTGGTTAGCGAGCAGTTGAATAGCTAGATGTTAAGGACGGTTGGATAATGAGATTTCATTTTCCAGAAGAAACCGTGTGGCTATATTTCTCTGTAGCCTTGATGACTTTCAATAAACTCCGACGATGCTATTAAAATATGGAGATTCAGCTAATAACATTGATAAGCCTTGTAGACATGTAATTCGTAACGGTTGACTAGCAGCAGTAGGGTCTCAAAGGAAAGTACTGTTTACTTGTAAATTGAATTCGTTTTTTGTAAACTGATAAATCATGTTAGGCAGTTAAGCGAATGATCTAATTTAGTGATAAAGTACCTCTCCTGGCTATCGGGAAATTAAATATTGTTCGGGATGTTTGATACAATATTGGAACCCATTGGGAAAGCGCACATATTGCCCACCTTCCTGACATATGAAACAACAAATTGAGACAGAGTTTACCAAACAGCGAATTGGCAAGCGTGTTGGGGTTTTCACCGCCTTTAGCGATATCCAACCCAAAGATGGCGGCGCTTAGAATTGGCATCACTCGATATACCCGTTCTTAAAAAATCGAACCCCGACCCTGGCTTTTACTAGCGAACACTTTAATCACTGGGCTCCCCACTTGTTCTAATGGTGAGAGAATACAGGAACACGATTCCCTAAGATGTGTATATGTTGTCCAAGCTCTGAACGAACTTTACCCACATGGTCAGTAAAGATAGATCAGCTATCATTCGTCAGTAAAGTCAACCACCCTTGTATATGATGTGTGGACTGTTTGCTGTGCAGTTACATATTAACAGGTCTCGTGTATGGGGCGTGTTATCAGATTTTCCTCGATTAAACGTCCTTAATTGAGTGGAGTCTGACTTTGTGCCTGTCATAAAAACTTACAGTTATCATCACATGTATCAACAGGATCGCTGACTTGGTTGATGCATGTCATCGTATCCTATTTGCGGGGATCGGTGCTCATGATGTCAATGACTGTATTGTCTGGTCCAGACTCCATTATAACTGGAATATTGCTGAGTGCGGTGTTAAACAAGCAGCAAACAAACAAACAAAAATTCGGCATAATAGGCAAAATAGCAATGAAAAAGATGTAAAAGGATCACCGAAAATCACCATTTCATGACACCAAGTGTTCGCTAAAAAGGGTATGGCCTGCTCTAGAGGCAGAACCCAACACTCTGCCACGCCAAATGGTCAGTACAACCGAAATACTGGGCGACACTATCCGGTGATAAAGTAGTCATGTCATCACATCGTGTCACCTGACATTTTCTGTATTTCGTGAGTGTTTGAATATTAAGTCAGTTTGTGTTTTCTAATATGTTGCTTCCATTTTGTTTGGATATATTTTTTAGGTTGTGACATAGATACGAATGTAAATATGCCTGAAGCGTTAACTTGTGCATGATTAAGCAATGGGAAACCAGCATTCGTCACCACTCGCTCCTTTCCGTAACCTGCAAGCAGATTCGTCCCCCTTTCGATGAATGATATGCGCGAAAATATGACAAACCAATCAGAATGCGCGTATGACTTCAAGGACTTTGGGGGTCGCTGGGGTAGCCTAGTGGTTAAAGTGTTCGCTCCGGATTCGATCCCCCACATGGGAACAATGTGTTAAGCCCATTTCTGGTGTCCCGGGCCTCGCCGTGATATTGCGTGAATTGTGGCGTAAAACACTCACCCACTCAAGTGCTTCGGTCAAAGAATCCCTCCGAAATAACCGTTGACATTTGACAAAAATACAATTTATGTCTACTGCTCTTTTTCCAACATAACCAGTTTATCTTGCGATCTCATTTAGACAAACCAATTTCGCCTTACAGTCATAAAAACGACATAAATATTTCCTGCCAAAGCTCAGGCAGTGTAAACATCAAAAAGAAGTTTTCCACTGAACACCCTTTCCACAGAAAAAAAAATCATTTGAAGTAAAAAGTCTCATCCTCCAAAACGCCTTCCTCGTGTGGTAGATAACTTCATTGACCAATCAGCCGTGGTAACGGCAGTATGGGGTCAGACTATCCCAGAGTTAGTGTGACGGAAGGCGGTGACTGCATCCTCTACAAGAGATGCTTCAAAGCAATCGATGGTGGTTAGCGAGCAGTTGAATAGCTAGATGTTAAGGACGGTTGGATAATGAGATTTCATTTTCCAGAAGAAACCGTGTGGCTATATTTCTCTGTAGCCTTGATGACTTTCAATAAACTCCGACGATGCTATTAAAATATGGAGATTCAGCTAATAACATTGATAAGCCTTGTAGACATGTAATTCGTAACGGTTGACTAGCAGCAGTAGGGTCTCAAAGGAAAGTACTGTTTACTTGTAAATTGAATTCGTTTTTTGTAAACTGATAAATCATGTTAGGCAGTTAAGCGAATGATCTAATTTAGTGATAAAGTACCTCTCCTGGCTATCGGGAAATTAAATACTGTTCGGGATGTTTGATACAATATTGGAATCCACTGGGAAAGCGCACATATTGCCAACCTTCCTGACATATGAAACAACAAATTGAGACAGAGTTTACCAAACAGCGAATTGGAAAGCGTGTTGGGGTTTTCACCGCCTTTAGCGATATCCAACCCAAAGATGGCGGCGCTTAGAATTGGCATCACTCGATATACCCGTTCTTAAAAAATCGAACCCTGACCCTGGCTTTTACTAGCGAACAAATTAATCACTGGGCTGGTTGATGCATGTCATGGATCCCAATTGCGTGGATCGATGCTCATGATATTAATCACTGGATTGTCTGGTCCAGACTCGATTATTTACAGACCGCCGTCATATAGCTGGAATATTGCTGAGTGCGGCGTAAAACAACAAACCAACCAACCAACCACTTGTTCTAATGGTGAGAGAATACAGGAACATGATTCCCTAAGATGTGCATATGTTGTCCAAGCTCTGAACGAATTTTACCCGCATGGTCAGTTAAGACAGATCAGCTATCATCATTCGTCAGTAAAGTCAATCACCCTTGTATATGATGTGTGGTCTGTTTGCTGTGCAGTTACATATTAACAGGTCTCGTGTCAGGGGCGTCTTATCAGATTTTCCTTGATTAAACGTCCTTAATTGAGTGGAGTCTGACTTTGTACCTGGCATAAAAAACTTAGTTATCGTCACATGTATCAACAGGATCGGGTGGTCAGGTTCGCTGACTTGGTTGATTGCGTGGATCGATGCTCATGATGGCAATCACTGAATTGTCTGGTCCAGACTCGATTATTTACAGACAGCCGTCATAGCTGGCATATTGCTGAGTGCGGCGTTAAACCACAAACAAACAAGCAAACATACACGCATATCACATTCGAGACCGAGGTGAACATCTAAAATGAAATGCATAAAAAGTTGTTTTTTTAACAGAGCACTGGCTTCTTCGTGAAAATATTTAACTGCAGAGAGGTATACCTGTGCCAAAATCGAATCGTGTATTCATGAAAAAGCCTTTTTTTGCGCCATGTAAATTCCTTTTGGGCATTTATTACATGACGAGAGGATTTGGTAGTCTGGTTGGAAATCCTTTTGCTCGTCACACTGAACTCATGTTTGAATCCCCAGATTGATACAGGGCCTGTGATATGTGAAGCCTATTGTTTTTGTTTCTCGACATGGTATTACTGGACTATTGCTTAAGCGACTTAGAAACTATTAACTTACTTATTATCTCCGGTAATTGAGTTAGCATTTCTGTACTTTTTTTAACTCTATAATATTGTAAATTCTGAATCTTTGAAAAAGGAAAAAACAAAACACTACTTGTAAATTGATTCAGTTAAAGAAGAGGAATCTAATTCCCCTTCCAAATAAATACAGAGCTGAACTTTATCAATCTAAATTACACTGAGCCAAACGGCGACAGTGATTCGGGCTATTTCACATGGCATTCAGAAAAAGCTTATCAGGAGGTATATATTAAATAATGTGTATTCCCATAGGAGTTATCCTTGGGGCGTTCCGGCGACACAAAGATGTCATTCCAAGTGTTAATATTCCTTGTGCGATGACGACAACGTGTCTTCCGTCTCTGTCCCATTTGCATCCCCGTCAACATCACATTTTACTATGTCATAACTACTTGCGGCCACTTTGTCGATTTTTCTTGTAATCTTTCAACGCAACCCCACTGGGCATGTGATTGGAAACCGACTCTGTTGTTACAACATTACCACAACATTTTTGCGTAAAGTTTCCTGAGGCCCCTTGACCGGTTTAATCAGACTTCCCCTGCCCCTACAATCCTTCAGCGGTTTCAATCAAAGCTCGAACAGCAATATGCAAACAGTTAAATACTGGTCTTTCATCAGCTCAACTTGATTGAAAGCACGGATGGAGATGAGCGAGAGAGACGGGACCATGCAGACTCCGGTAGGCGGTTGCATGCCGAGAGAGAGGACACGTGCACACTCGGAGACTGCTCGGGAAAAACATTCGCCTGAGCAGTTCTGATTGATGTATAGTTAATGCTTTTGCTGCCTTTCCTTTTAACGCGCAGAGCCATGCTATCAAGTCAATCTCATATGTTGTAAAACAACAGGTGTTTATGATACCACGATGGCTAATCCTGGATTATTGACAACACCGGCATGACGTGAATCTCCATTAAGTATGAAAATGTTGCGACTTTTCAGTCATGTAAAGACATAAACTGCTCTTGTCCTTTTTACCTACAAAGTGGATCGATATTTTTGCGTCGTTGTTTATGCATCCTGTCACGATTACGATTGCGGTCATTTGGATGGTACTTAACTGCCCAACAGGAAGGATACATTATACCGTTGCTGTGAAGAAAACCACAAAAAACATCCTTGCTGACTTGCCGGTACAAACGCCAAGGCAGTGTTATGATGAGTTTTACCTGAAGTAAAGCGACCACCTGCCGTGACGCCGCGATGGAACCCAGCACCTAGTGGATAGCACGTGTAGGATTTAATGCGTGGCCCGGGTCATCACCGTATGACTAAGCTCTCCTGCAGAGCATGGACATCGTTGCAAAACGAGTTTTGGATGAAAAACTGGTAATTAGTTGAACATACACCTGAGTCGAAACAGTCTCGTTTGTACTCATTGGACGTGAGCATTGTCTGCACTGACAGCTGCAGTTGGGCTGTGGGTTGTTAGTAATTGGTGTGGTGAAACGATTGACTCTCGCATACTTGCTGTTTTCCAATTAACCCCTGTGTCTTGCTGTTCACTTTCCTGACTCTCTGTAGAACTAGTCTAACAGAGAAACGCGTGCTTAAGCAAAGATTACGCATAATTACGCACGACATTTTACGGCGAAGTGAGTTATTTTGAGTGATACAGTGAGAAATAGTATTCCATTGAGGGGAGACATGAATCCATCAACTACTTGGTTCTTCCCTAATTTCAATCTCGGAAAAAACAGTTCAAATGAATTTTCCGTTTTACCAAGCAAAAGTAATGCGTCCTTCTGCAAATAAATTGCAACAGTGATGTGAACAAATGGACAATAGTGCCTTCTCGACTGGATCAAGTTCTCATCCTTGTGATTACTAGAAGTGTTCACGAACCCAGGAACTGTTACCTGTACGCGTTCCAGTTGTTTGGCAGACCTACGCACGTAATACAACCACGTGAGGCATTGTCTAGTGGCATAGCAGAAAGGGACAATGCCTTTCAGCGGAGATTATCCGCCGTTTATGGAGGTGAGCCAGAAAACTATGTCTGTGTAGAGGACCTAATGGTACGATACGAAATTAGGTTTTATAACTTATTTCAAGAAGGATTACCATCATGACATTCATCACAACGCAGTGTCCGCTCGTTTGTCCATTTAACAGCTTGGTTACCCATTAAATCATCCTGTCCACTCCAGTTTATATAGACTAAGGTCCAAGCTGTAGTCGACATGGCTGGACAGGCTTACACTAGTCCTGCGGTCAATGGCACTTTCGCTGACCAGTATGTAACTGATTATAATGGAATGGCCACCAACAGTTCAAATGTTACCGGAAACGCTTCGGAACCTTTTAATGAGGAGGGTTATTTGGAAATGTATCTTGGTGAACGTTACATTTCAATCGGAGCGGTGATATTTCTCACTACAGTGTATGCGTTGATATTTGTGACAGGTGTTCTCGGGAATACGTGTACGTGCATCGTGATTGCTAGAAACAAGTACATGCAAACAACCACTAACTATTACCTCTTCAACCTGGCTGTGGCAGATGTGTTGACATTGCTTCTAGGTGAGTAATTATTTCCATAACAATTCCATGTTTTAGGAATAACATTTTCTTATATGTATGGTATCCATTCGTTTGTTTGGGTTATTGATATTTTTAAGTGCATTGCCATTGTTTCAGAGAAAAACGTGCGTTTTAATCAACCATACATACTAAATCATAATTTATGAGTGACTTTTTATATGACTATGTGGCTCAACACAACATCTATGTACGAAGCAGGTATATATATATATATATATATGCAGTGCCTCGAGTTCATCTTTAGACCGTTACTCATTGAATGTTTTTTCATTGGAGGTGCAAATATATCAGCTTACCTCCCTATCTTTTTTAGTACATCTGGTGTACACGTCGATCATTGCTTTATTTGGCTGACTTCCCACACTAACAGGGCGTTTGTCAAGTAAACATTTATGTGAAGACATTGCATATACTCACAAGTGTTCGCTGATGCTGCATACCATACAGTTTGGCGTTCTTTTGAATTCCGTTCAAGATTCATTCTGATGTGAAAGGGTGTATGCATTGCTCCTTGTATATGCCAACACTGTAACAATAGATACAGTATATATGATATACTTTTTTCCATTTGTATTATCAAATTATACCGACAGAAAGACATTGGTGTCAAATCAGACCATGTCCATAGCTCTATATCATATTACGTAGCGCTGCTTTCCTTGATTCTCTAACAATTTCTATTCCCTTACAGTCTACTGATCATTGGACGTGGCTTTAGCAGGAAGCGTTAAGCTTTAGATTATTCTGTTATGAAAGCGAGACATATACATAGTGTGACGGTATATTTGTAATAATAGGCTGAAATATAGAGCGACAGTAACGGAAGAGTGTTACGACTATTGCAATGGTATTGAAACACCGTTACAGCTATTGCTATAATAGAGAAACAGTGATACAACTATTGCAATAGTGTAGAAACAGTGATACAACTATTGTTATAGTAATACTATTAAAACAGCGTTACATCTAATACAATGGCATCGAAAAAGTGTTTTAACTATTCACAATATTATTTGAAAAGAGCTCCAAATGCCATTACTACATATCATTGATTTGCATTTGTGCATCGATTGATGATGACTTTCCTTGTTGCTGTATCTGCATTTCGTAGTGGCTCATCTCGCTTTTAGTCACCATCCGTTAGGTGGCAATCAAGGGACGGTGTCATATTGAATTATACGTATCCATTGAGCCACACATCCGACAAGGGTGTTTCCAACTTTTTGTTTGTCACCTACTGCACTTCACTTATATACACTTTAACAAATAAAGGTTAGTGTTCTCGATACGATGAACCAAACTGATATCGATAAATATGCAAATGAGGTCAACTAGCAGGGACTACTTTTGGAAAGCCCTATTTATCGATATGGTGTTGACTTGCTCAAACACTTTTGCATAACTTTCCCTAAATGATCAGATGATGGTTTTCGGTATGTGCGTACTTATGTAAACAAACATGGCTGCAAAAGAAATGGCACTATATCATAAAAGGGGCGGTTCACTCAGGCTTTATATTCCTACGCGGTTACTATAGTGAATAGCATAGCAATATGTCTTAAACTGCGATTATTTTAAGAAGAAAATTCCATAATGAAATAGATCCTTATTGTCGTGTGTTTTCCGTATCATTAATATCATATATTAGGAATACAAACTTAAGAATATGTTATACGCGCCTCAAAGGCTGGCATGATACATTTTGTATTCCTAACATATGATATTTACTACACGACAACTCACTCTGATAATAACCTCTATTTACTCCTTATACTAATGAGTTGTTGTCAATAAGTAAAGGCGCATTTGTGATATTCTATGGTTACCATTTGTCAATGTTAGGTTGTGTGGACAGTGATGAGACACCTGAGTTACCGTCGTTTCAAACAAAAGGGAATAGATATATATTTTATACCATCAAAAAACAATTCTTCGGGAGTAAAGTAATTGGTTCGATCCCTGAAGCAATTGTTTCTTTCAGTCAGATCGATTATGTTCTAGACATTCTGATACTTCTCGGGCTGCCTTGAAGGGCTTCTCTTTATCGAGACCTCTCAACCAAAGCAAATTGTAGACTTAATATATAGGGGCTGAAGCCAAGTCACATTCTCCTATCCCGTCATATGTCACCTTGAACCGTCAGCTGAGGAAGGCAAAGTCTGGTAGATGTGTATGAACTGGAAACGCTCAGATCTCCCACTGTTGATGTTTTGTCACTGGTATTGACTGAAGAGTTAAACCTAATGCCCAAGTTGTCTCTCCTTTTGAAGAAGCATTTAGAAGTTGGAGTACTAAGTAAGGATAAGATATCTGGATGAACAACGTCTTTATTACAATAGGAGCGACGTGTCGGTGTAATTTGATTACGGTGTTAGAACCTACACCGAAACGTCGCTCCTATTGTAATAAAGACGTTGTTCATCCATATATCTTATCCTTACTAAGATGTCTGTGTACTGGACAGCTGAACCGCTTTATTCCGGCTGGTCACAGTTCCATCGTAGGGCTTTCCGGAATATTGTATCGCGGACAGTGTTGTGAACCATTGCCCTTGTATAGATAGACGTTCTTATGCAGAGTACAGGAATACGGCATTTACGGACTAATGGGATTTCACTGTTTCTCCGAGTTGAAATGTAACAAACTCTAAACACAAAAACATATACATAAAATAACATAGTGTATGACGTAGGCTTAAACTTTCTATCACAGCATGACAATGTTGCTGAATGAGTGTCATTCCGCCAACAGAAAATCCAAGCTACAATATAACTCAACAAAATGTTTGGAAAAGTGTTTCTAAATTTTGCAGTTTTAAAAATATGCCTAAAGCAAAAGTTTTTTTCGAAATTTTGCAGTTGTGAAAATATGCTTAAAGCATAAAATTGTTTTGTATTTTTACAGCGTTTATGTCAAAATTATGTGTTTAGGGAAGTTGACCCACAGTCAAATATAAGTAATCCTGGTTATATTTGCGCATTTGGTCTCCTGTATCCTGGAATTATGACCGATAAAATATGATATTATTTGTATGACCTGTGACTTCGCTGTCACCCTCCGTAGCTATGGGTCCGTGGAGTACAGTCATGGGTGAAACGTTGGCTCATCACGCCGAAGACCCGGTTCGCGTCCAAAATGGAGCAGAATATATGAAGGCCTGTGTCTCCAGCAGGGATATTCCTAGCGCATTGCTGAAAGTGGCGTAAAACCCTACTCACTAACTCTGTAACTCACCACCAATACCATTCTTTGAAGAATACTGCGCCCGTTCTAATTCTCATTTGGCAAACTAGTATTGATGTTAATGCCCTTTGCTGTTCGATTGAAACTTATGATCTTGTGAACAGTAGCATATTGTAACGTATATGGTAACAAATTAGCTGATCAAAGAATCAAACAATCTCCAAGCTCCCATGAAGGTAGTCTCTCATCTTGATCTGGGGTAGCCCAGTCGTCTTAATGCCTCACATGTTCGCTGTGCAGAGTTGCGCCCTTGGGAAATGATCGTGGGTCTGAATCACGGTTCGTTCCGATTATGTTTCTGGGTTGGTAAGTACCATATCCATGCTCGTAGATTTAACCAATGCTTTAAGCGTCCAAGACCTGAATCACTTCAGGCTTTAATCCTATTATCAAGCTGACACGCTGTGATATTACTGGAATACTGTTCAAGGCGGCGTTAAACCCATGATTCCGATTCTGTGGGTTCCTTCCGTCTGTTCATATATAGTAGGTGTAACAATAATCCAGCAACTCATTGGTGTCTACATTTCACAACTTGTGAGGTTCATTTGACAACGCGCTTTCAAGGAAGATTTGAAAGAGCTGAAATGTTGTTTGATCAGGGTTACAGCACTCGAGGGTTTTAGCAAAGCTTTCAAAACATTATTGTTGACATGTTGAGGACATTTCTAAATGTAACAAAAATGATGCAGTTTCCAGTTAAGACTACCTTGTGGTTGTCCTGTGGTTTTTTCAGAATTTTGTCCTGCCTTTGCATATGTTTGTGCCGGGTGCCACCGGTGGGTACGGATACGCTCACCTTTCCGCGAACACCTGGTGTCATCACTATTTGATAGTGATTCATAAACACATGCTTATTATATAGACGAAATCGCTTTTTGCAGAGATTTCTTATGATTATGGAAAGGTCTTTGTTTGTTTGTGGTTGTTTTGGTTATTTTTTATATTTTGTTTTGTTTATTTTGTTTGTTGTATTTTTTTTTTTTGGGGGGGGGGGGGGGGGGGTTATACGTTAAGTTCACAATCAAAATATTTAATATTTACATTTCAGGATCATTTCAGGAGTTTACCAGAAAGGTAGTGGGAATGGTGTTTTTATGACATATCAGTAATATGTTTGTTTGTTTTTAAACGCGAGACCAAGCAATATTCCAGCTATGTGACGGCGGTCTGTAAATAATCGAGTCTAGAACAGACAATCCAGTGATTGTCATCATGAGCATCGATCTATGCATTTTGGATACGATGACATGCATCAAGCAAGTCAGATAGCCTGACCACTCAATCTCATTAGTCGCCACTTACAAGCATGGGTTCCTGAATTTAACCCGGAATCTTCACGGGAATGTCAGTGAACATTCCTGGTTGATTGGTAACAGTATCGACCACAAACACCTCGTGTCTTGGCTGGCATTGACGTAATGTACACCTGTAACAGTCCGCACAGGTGTCCAAGTTATCGAAGTCGATATGCATAGTTGCATCCCTTTAGGGTGCCCGATACATATGATCGAGGGTTCGAATCCCTGATTAACCCTTATTACGCTTTTAGGTTCGTTAGCTCCACACCCATGCTCTTGGGTTTCAGCAATGTCATAAACGTCCATTGAATGCATCACGTCAGGCTTTTCTTCCACATCAAGGTGACACTTGCTACAACTAAAATATTGTTCAAAGCGGGATTTAACCCAACTCACTCATTCTTTCACTGATACTAACATACAGTATCCTGCGTT